AATGCAGCTAATCAAGGGTAAAGAGTAAGGGATTTTGATTCATTTATAGCATTCATTTTTTTCATAAAAATAGTTGCCATTATGCTGATATAAAAATTGAGTGACAGCAATGATCAAATAAAAGTATTTGTAATTAACAGCATAGCTTCCCAAATTACTCTCCATACGTCTAACTCACATGACTGTACTGATAGTGTTACAAGCTATTTACATAAAAAAAATTTCTTGATTTGCGCAAAAAAATCCTGTTTCAAAAGTGTTTGCCAACTTTTTCTTCTATACCAAAAAAAAATATACTCCCATTATAAAAATATGTACTCAAATTTAAGTTGACGTCTTGTTTGTTACCAACAAGACGTCAACATAAATTTGAATTGACGTCTTTTTAGTTAGGACTTAAGAACATCCTATTCCTAAATTTCCACAAAAAACTTTTTAGCTTTAAAAGCTTTTCATAATCTTTTGTATGTAAGTTTATGTAGTATTTTTAGAACATCTGAGTCAAAATATTTTTAGGTTTGCTACAATTTTTTTTTCTTAGTAAATTGGGGGATTTAATCTTAATTATAATTTAGTAAACAGAAATGGTTTTGTATGAATCGTTCGCATATCTACAACAATTTGTTAAGACACACTTAAGTGAATCTTACTGTGTATGATAATGTTTAATATGAACTTGGAAACGCCGACATTTCTAAAAATTTGTGATCACAAAATTTAGATAAATAAAAATTTATTGTATCTTAAAAATTCCACAGATTGTAAACTATTATTAAAATCGTGAGCAAAATTTATATATATATTGAAAATTTATATATATAGGAAATCAAACTTCAAGAACATAAATAATTAGTGTAAAATAAATTTCATTTTATACATTTTATTTTGTGAATAAGGGGCATTTCCTCAATTAATTTTAGTAAATCATGATATATTAAAGTGATATAAAAATTAAAATTATGTAGCATTTATGAAGTTTTTAATTTATTTTTATTTTGTTTTTTTGCAAACCATTAAAACAATCCGTAAAGTAATTATTTAAAAAATTTGATAAAAGTACCGGAAAGGATTAAAATAAAAAGTACATAAATTATTAACAAAAATAATAAATATAAAAAGTGAACAAAAAAAATATTATAAAATAAATTGGGGAGTTATTCGGTATTTTTCTATTGTATACAATTTATTTAAAATAAAATTAAATAAAATTATAATGGGATTTTTATTTTTACATTTTAAAAACATTATTTTTTTATTTTATTAATAAAAGTTCATATTTCTTTAAATTCGATTTCCAAAAATTAAAATATCAAAAATCAATAACCATAGAACGCTATTTTAAAAAATAAAAAAAAAGAAGGAAAAAATAAGGATAAAACAAAGTGGGAGTAAAAAAAATGTATGTAATATAAAATTATTATTTCCAAATGAACTCTACTTAAAAAGAAAAAAAAATATATAAGAAAATCCTTCAGAAATTTTGTTTTATTTCAGACCACGGGTAGACTAACAATAACTAGCACAATAGCAATTAAGAACTGAACCAAAACAGCCACTAACTTTTAGCAGGAGATTTTAAACAGAAGATTAAAACGTAATTTTCATCAAATTTTACGATATAATTGCACGAAAAATGTAATACGGAATGTGATACAACGTCAAAGTTTGCGGTTTTTACAATACGGAATATTGCCTGATATTTGACTTGCATAGATACTGACATTTTTCTATTTTACACTTTTAAAAATCTTTCTATTAAATACATTTTTGATTTTAATTAAAAAATTAGGAATTATATAAATAAAGTGGATTTAAATTCGAAAATAGAGAAGTTTTTTTTGTAAATTTAGTGATTTTTTACAAAATTAGAAAAATAATAATTAAACTCAATAATTATTTTTAATGAAAAATAAAATTTGAAAATAAGAGAAAAAGATCTGAATTTTCGTTTAATTAACAACTCAAATTTCTATACAAATTAATAAAGGATTTTCTTAAAATTTATTTTCGAAAGTCAAAAAATAATGATTACTAAAAAAAATTAAACCCATTCAACACAAAACTTTAATATTATCAATTTTCACTCAATATATGACAAAAACAAATATGAATTGCTTTTCCACTCTTAAAATAAAAAAAAATCGAATCGAAAACATTCTGAAAGCAAAAAACCTTTTTGAAAAATCCTTAAAATTTTGTAATGATTTTTTTTTCTTCCACTTTTTTTTATTTTTATTATTTAAATAAATGGGTGTTAGTGCGAGAATGTTTGAAAAGCTGCTTTCTTTTCCACCATAAAAAAAATATATTACAAGTACTTAAGGTAAATAACTAAAACTAAATTAAAGGTTCAAAATTTTGCATTAATTACTGAAAAATTATTATATAAAAATACAATATTAATAAAATAGGGAAATGTTTAAATTACATGCATAATAAAATTTCGTTGCTAAGAATTTATTTTAAAAAATGTAATTACGTTAGATATGCCAATATAGCAGATATATTTGAATATACCTTATATACAAATTAAATTTTAAAAGAAAGATAAAAGGAAAAATCAATCACAAAATTTGAGTTTTTTTGAACATCAAGTTGAATAAATAAATATAAATAAAAAATAAATCATGAATGAAATTTTTTAATGTCATTTTATAATTCTTTAATAAATTTAAAATTCAAACAAGATGATGAATGAATAAAAATTTTCATTTAACATTAAATTCGGTTCCGCAAAATTTACTATTTTAATCACATTTTGTGGTATAAATGTAGATTTCAACAACATTAACTTGTAAAAAACAAATAACAATTGTGAATTGAGCAATTTCAAAACAAAAGAACTCAAATTTTATTATTATTATTGAAGGAGCTTTAAAGTATTTAATTTTAAATAAAGGTTATTTTTCTTATTTTATTTTATAATAAATCTAAGAGTTTCTAGTAAAAGTTTGATATAATTCTTATTAATTAATCAAAATAACTTAAGTACTTAAAAAGCTTCTATTAATCCGTTAGCACAAAATGAAATTTCCTACACAATTTCATATTATTTTATTTATAATTCATATAAAATGAAAAATGAACCAAGAACCCAGTACATCATAATTACAATATTGCTGTCCTTATAAATATTTTTTAATCGTGATGGGTATATAGTTTGCAAAATATTATGTGCACATATAGCATGGGTTCCTTAAATTAATTATGAAAATTTATCTTTTAAAATGTTTGTAAATTTTATAAAATTTAATTTAAATAATTTTTATATTCATTCCTTTAAAAATTATTTCACAGAATATATTATCATTCTTTGAGTATTCAAACGAATTTGTATTTTTTTTTTGTTCATAAACTAATCCGCAAATTGTAACAAGACTTAAATTAATTTATTTTAAATTAAAACAAATTTATATAAATAACGAAAAAATATCAGCTTTAACAAGAAAAAAATAAGTAAAAATCAATGAATATAACATACATTTGAAAATAATTATAAATAAATTAATATGAAAATTTTTAATGAAATAAAAACAAAGATTTATAATATGAAATTTCAATAGATTGAATGAGATGAATCTTATTCAGTAATATTAAAGCATTAATTTATTTCAATCTTAAAATAACAAAATGTAAAATTGAAAAAAAAGAAATTATATTTTATAATATTAAACACACCAATCAATGTTTAACTTGAATAGTTATATTTTAAATTATTATTTATCAATTTTAAAAATAGAAATTATTATATATAAAAATAGAGTTTATAGTTTAAATTGATAATAAAACTAAAAGTATGCTTTTTTGGATTTATATAATATCATAATTAAAAATTACAAAGCACAAAAAAAAATGGAGAGCAAAATCTCTCAAATATTATTTTTATCAGTTTTCATTAATTACATTAATATTATATGACAATTAAAAAATGTAATTATAATAAATTTTAAGTATCTTGATGTCTAAATGTTTAATAAGTACCTATAATGTCTTTTAATTGTTTTATTACTAATATAAAGATTAAAAATTAAATTTTACATAGTAAAGCTAATTACATAAATTTTACTCAAGTTCGAGTTTACAATTATTGGTCTTTATTTATAAAATATTTAATTAATTTCATTAAATTATATATTATAGGCGCAAAAAAATGAAAATACAAATAAAAAGAAGAGTAAACATAGTAAAAAAATAATGAAAAAAAAAAAAAACAAAAAACTAAAACCAATAAGGCGTTGAATGCTTATTAAATGATAAACTCAAATGCACTTTCAATCTAAACATAGGTGTAATCGATAATGCCAAATGCCGGTCGACAACAATTGCATCTGACAATCACCAACCAGCAATCAACAATTTATGCTTAAAAAGTTTTTTAACAACCGGTTGACAACTGCTTTAGCAACAAATTTTTTTTATTTAAGTATTTCTAGAACTAAATTTCATTAATAAAAATTTAGTTACGCTCTTCAACGTGGAATTCGCTTTTTTTAGGTTAAGTACAATGCTTTTGTTTATTGCAACATCGATTTAAATGCAAAATAATTCGACGTCAATTTTACATTATCGATTATACCTTATAAGTTCATGTGCTATATTTCATCTTATTTAATTTCAAAATGTGCTAAGAGCACAAAATAAGAAAAGTTACAGAAATTTATATATGAAATTTTAAATATTTCATTTATTAATTACAAGAAAATTAAAAATATAAAAATTGAGTTGATCAATTAATTTTCGATTTTTTTATAAATTTAAAATGAAATCAGACACAAAAAAAAGAAAATAAAAATAAAAGAAAAAAACAAACAAAATCAAAAAACAAAATTTTTTTGTTCTGATCTATTTTTTTATTCATTTGAAAATAAAAATTTCCTGTACTCAGGTAATTTAATTTATTTTTTGTTTTAACTACTTTTTAATATTAATTTACATTAATTTAATAACTGTGTAATTTTACTCCGACGAAAACATTGAAAAATTGTCTAAAAATGCCTTACCTTGTACAGAATCATCGTCAAGATCATCTGTGCTATTTGTAATTCGACCTAAAATTTTATAAAAATAAAAAATATCATTAGCTATAATTTCGGTATAAAAAAATAAATATAATTGAATTAATTATTAAATACAGGTATTTATAAAATTACTGATATTATTAAATTGGGCATATTAACTTAAGAAGTAAATAGCTTATTCGAATTGGCTAGACATAACGTATAATCAGAAGTCAAAATAGCAAGTGGACAAAAGATCATTTGAAATCGATAGAGCTGCCATAAAAATAAAAGAATGGTAAATATATGCTTATCAATCTATTTGCGAAATTAAAAATATAACGTAAAAATTAAAGTAATTAAATTAAATAAATTAATATTAAATTAAATCACAATTTTCCTTGGTGTTAAACGACGCAAAATCATTACAAATTAATTTTACAATCTTATACATAGAATTGAAAAGTTTAACAAATGTAAGTTAATACATAATTTCTTTAAATATTAATAAGTTTAATATAAATTTTATAGCAAATTAATTATATTATTTGTTTTCCTATCCAGTTTCTAAAAAATGCATGCTGCGTTACGGTTAATGGTCAAATAGGTTTTTTTAATTAGATCTGATCTAATGTTCAGATTTTCTAATCTGAAATCTAATCGCTTTTAGAAAAAAAATAATTGATATCAAAGTTTTTTGATATCAATATAATTTTTGTTAGTAGGTTGGAATTTCAATTGAGAACGCTATTGCTTAATAAATTATAGTACTCTTGTTTTTAAATTAATATTAAATTTTAATAAATAAGAGGAAATCTATAAATCGAAAGAAATATAAGAATTAATAATTATTAATTAATATGTATTAAATTTTTATCAAAAGAAAACTTTGAAATTCAAGGGTTTATTTTTAACTCGTTGGAATAACATTACGTCAATAGGTGTCAATACTTGTACAATTTTTACCACCAAAAATTTTAATCTATAAATTTCATAGTATACAATTAAAAGTTATATATTTCAATTTAGAAATATATAAAAATTTAATAAACGTTTGCTAAAATATTTTCAAAGTGAAGACGAAAGGAATATTCGTAAACTATTATTTTTATAGTAATGAAATATAAATATTTAATACTAATATGGAATCATAAAAATAAAATGATAAACAATTCGAAGCATGGTGCTAATTACCTCTGGAACTTTTACCAGTTATACTGTTTGCCGTTCCATTACGATTATATAATATATTTTCTAAATACGATATACCGTTGTTATTGACAATTGTAAATCCTGTCATTATTTCAATTTGTTTCCAACGATGTAATCGTTCTTGCAATTCGTTTGTTACTTCACTAAGAGCATTACGTGCTTCAACAATTGATCTATCAACATCATCAATACTTTTACCATGTGTGGATACAAATGCTCCAACTAAACTTGAACGTTTACGTCGTAATTTCTCACACGCTTCACGTGCCGACTGTAATTGTTTTTCTGCTGCCAAACGCTTCCTTAAATGATGTCTACTTTCTATTTCATAAGTATATTGTAACCATGTTTGTAATTGTGGTGGTGGTGACCAACAATGATCAACTAATTCAATTTCAGCTCTAGATAGTTCTGATCTTAACATTTCAATTTCAGCCTTTAATTGTTGAAGTTCTAAATCTGAATTTGATGATGATAATGTTGGTGCTTCCTTAAGTCGTCGTTCTAAATCTAATTTTTCAGTTGCAACATTTTCTTGTTCCATACGGGCTAATTCTAATTCCTAAAATAAAATAAGAAAATTATTTTTTTTATCAGTAATATTCAAATATTTAAAACTATTTTAAAACTGTTGTCTAAAATAATTAAAAAAAAAATGAAATTAAAAAAATGTAGTTATTTATAATAAAATTTTAATAGTTCACAATAGGTAACTCGTCAAAAACTTATGGTCAATATAAAAATAATACCTCGATTTCAAATATAAACCAGGAATTTTAAAAGTTTTTTATTGATTAAAAATAAATTTAACAACAAATTTAATTTTGTGATTACCTCTTCGTATAGTTTTTATAATACTAAATAATTAAAGAATTTTAGATTTTAGTTTTAGTTTTTTATTGTTATTTTTTTGCTTTTAAAAGCTCTGCTTGAAACCTTATTTCTTAGTTTTTTCTAAACTATAATATCGCATTTAAAGTCTTAGTTGATCGATTTCTATTAAAATTGAGAAATACCGGTTAATACCGAACCTTCAGTACAGTAAAACTAAAAATTATTGTGCTTCACAGCTTAATTGTCTTACAGGAGATAGCGACAATTTTTAATATGTTACTCGTAATTAGTGCATTATGCCAATTTTTACTATGCCAAGTCGTTTAACTATAACTATTATTAATTGCATTTTAAACTGAAATCAGATTTCGAATCAAGTTTGAAAATATAAAAAATATAGGTTGTTTTAACTAGGGTTTTAAATTAAAATCTTAATTGGTAAAAATTTAACAAATGTTGAACGAATTAATTTTTGTATATAATATTTATTGGCATTCTACAAAAAATCATATACAAATTTGTACTAATTTGTGAAATTTAAAATGTTCACTTTATCTAAAGTGAATGATACTAAAGTTTTATTAAAGTTATAGCATTTGATTTAAATAGCAAACAAAATTTAAAGACGAAAACGGAACCAGAGCGATTTCCCGCAGCGAAATGTCAAAATTCGCATAGTATCAGAAATATTTGTACAGCATCACATAATAAAGTTCAGAATAAAGTAAAGTTATTGGGGCAATTTTACCCAGCGACGGTCCTATTTTATCACTGGTGATTTTGTGTTTTTGACATTCTCTGTTATCATGTGTGTGTGACATTTTATACAAAACTACTGATTTTATCGTTCTGATGTCGGTATGTATCAAAAACGGAAATCGTTTGCTATTCTCGTTCTCCGTTTTTGGTTCTGTTTTTACGCAAATACATATATGAAATTTGAAACTTTCTTATAAAATTAATACAGCCCAATATTTTTTATACTGAAGCTTTATAACTTACTTATAAATTTCCAATTAAATAAACATAATATTTGTTAGGTTAGTGCTTATTCAATAATTATGTATGTGCATATCTAAAGATTTTTTTTCTTTATTTAAGTTTACATATACATTAATTAACTTAGATTTAATGTTAAAATTTGAAGTGAAAAGTGTAAATATTTCTTATATCTGAGAAAACAACAAACTTAAAATTAAAAGTGAAGCTTTTTTAAACTTTCATTATACCCGTACGAACGTATGTTCGAAGGGTATACTAAATTTGCCTTACTGTTTGTAACGCTAAGAAATAACGGTCTTGGATATAGACTCAAGTGTATGTTTTTGATCAGCGTCAAATTCTGAGTTGATTTAGCTTTGTCTGTCCGTCCGTCCGTCCGTCCGTCCCAACGATAACTCAAAAACTAATTGAGCTAAGTTCACCAAATTTTCACATATGATTTATTTTAGTAAGTGCCAGAACCCTATTTAAATTGAACATGATCGGGGCACCGGTTCGGGTAGCTGCCATACAACTTAAAAATTTATTTTGCTATATCTCAGAAACTATAAAAGCTGTGGTATTGAAATTTCACACAAACGAATATATTAGTAGGGCCAATGTGTCTCATAAAAGTCGTTGAAATTACTTGGCTCCTTCTGGTACCTGCCATACAACTTCAAGAGTTATTTGGCTGTATCTCAGAAACTATATAAGCTATGGTATTGAAATTTCACACAAACGAATATACCAGTAGGGCCAATGTGTTTAATAAAAGTCGTTGAAATTGCTTGGCTCCTTCTGGTACCTGCCATACAACTTCAAAATTTATTTGGCTATATCTCAGAAACTATAAAAGTTGTGGTATTGAAATTGCACACAAACAAATATATTAGTAGGGCCAATGTAGTATGATAAGAATCGTTGAAATTACTTGGCTCCTTCTGGTACCTGCCATACAACTTAAATAGTAGTTTGGCACACACAGTATTTTGAAAAACACAGTACTGAAATTTTGCATACATTAATATGGTAATACGGCAACTTAAATTCATCGTCTGTCGCATAGTCAGTTATGGCATCTTTATTTGCACATAGGATAACAAATTCGTACGGGTATCACAGAGTTGACAAGGTCAACTCTATTTTTTTTCTCGTTTTACAATAATTTTTCATTTATTTCTAGTAACATAAACATTTTTCAATACAAAGAAACCCTAGACATTATGTTTATGTATAAACTTTTTCATAAAACTTCTTAGTCGTTCATTATGAATGCAAGAGCATAATTAAATTAAAAAAATATTTAATAATAATTTTTCCTGAAATAGTTTTTAGATTAAGGCATACTTATTTTGCAATTCTAATTAGTAAATTCAAATTTGAACCGATTAAATTTAATAAAACATACAAATCACTTACTTACATACATACATAATAAAATTTATTAAACTTTTAACATTGTAAGTACATTACATACGTTATAGAAATGCAAGAGATGAAAAGCAGATATAAAATTGTTATTATTAAAAATAACTATTATAATTTTTTCTTACTAATTTTAAAAAGTAGTAATTAAAAATTTATAAAAAAAGTAAGTATATGTTTTTTGTTTCTTAGAATAAAAATGTAGAAGTAATTTATACAAAAAACTTTGTACAAACCTAACTACGTAATAATAAAAAAAATTAAAAGAGGAAAAAAAATATGACTTTGAATTTTTTTCTATAAATTTTCTCTCTCTGATTTTCCTAGGCAACGATGCAGAACATTGTATTTTTTATGTATGTAATTAAGTACAGTTTCAGCTGGACAATTGTTAAAAGATTTTTCCATTTTCATATACAATTAAAAAATGATATTTTAATTCTACTTTGTAATTGTTATTAATTAATGTACAGCTATAAAATCCTAAGAAAACCTTAAACTTTATAAAGCTCAATATGCGAACAACATGCTTGTATAAATTTTTACAATAAAATAATTTATTACTAGTTACTGCATTTTTATTCCCGAAAATTTCTCTGTCGACAAAAACTATGGATAGCACAATACGAACAATTGTTTTTCCGAATGCAAACGAAAATATTACCTGGCCAAGAAAGTAGTATGATAACATTTTTAAGTAAAAATTTTTTTGCTTTTTGAATAGTAAATAAGTTTGGTTAATGAACTATGTGTAATGTTCCAGTAATTCGAATTTCGAAAATTCTTTACCTTGATTCTCGTTTCACTTTTTTTACTGTTATTAACAACACAGAATAAAAAAAGAAAGCAAAAAAAACAAGTTTTACAATTCAAGAAATGAAGAGATAAGAAAGAATCATTCAAATTTAAAAATAAAACTGTGCACAAGCTAATTTCCAAACAAAAACAGTATATTATTATTTCCCAATACTTTTCAGACTATGTGTTGCCTCAGGGACTCCAAAATGCAATATTTGTATAGAAACACGCGCATAGGTACATGAAACTATTTTTATTTGTGTTAAGGCTATTTTTGTCAAATCTGTTAAAAATATGACATAATCAACATATAGTCGACCACTTAGCGTATTGCCAAATTAACATGAATTTACTCTTACAAACCAAACAGATCAGTTTGATAATCCACCTGCGATTCTAACATGGAAAAGTGCATTCCTATTATAAACACAATAAAGAAATAATAAGAGAAACAAAACTGCTCTTATTGTGTGGAGTGAGATCAGTTAAAAAGAAATTTTAATGTTGTGAAAGAATTTGTGTAACATTTATACATTTGTACGTATGTTATACGTACAAATGCTTTTAAACAACTTTTTGAAAACTACCTGTTAAGTATAACTAAGAAATGATTTCATCCCAATGTGAGTTACGGTTATTTGATAATTTTTAACACGTTCGCGGACGCGAACATTCATTTTCATAGTGATGAAAGATGACGTGAATGCTATAGCATTCAAATTTTAAAGACAATTTTTATTAATTTAATTCATTTCATTCTAATTGAAAAATATTATCTATATCGTAGTGGATGCTATAATATTCATTGTATATAATGGATAAAATACAATGTTCTGAATATTCTTATAATACATGTCTAATTAGATTTGAAATATTACAACTAGTTTCAAAAATAACTGCCTGTATATTTTTGTATCTCCCTGAAATTTTTAGCGTCCCCGAACGTGTTAATATTTTTGAAAATTATTTCAAACATTGTCTATTTATGTTTTAGTTCTTCATAATATAATATAATGGGTAAGTAATAAGTAATAAAATCTATTAACCTAACCTTACCTAACCTTCTAACTAAATTTTTAGTTTCCGGTATAAATTTTTGAATATTAGTATTAAGTTTACTTGTCACACACAGCTTCATCGAATTGTCACTATGAGTGTAAGATCAAATTATACAAACTTAGGAAAAGAGTTAATTAGTACTTACTTAAAAGTTAATTAAATTTTTGACAAAAACATTCTAAATTTTATTAAATTAATTATCTTAAGCACAAATTGAATTGGAAAAATTTATAATTTAGTAACTACCTTATAGAACCACCACCGCTTACAACACGTACTAAAAAAACACATCTCATTTATTTATATAAGACTTAATTAAAAAAATATTAGTGATTTGAAATAATGATTTTTTGAACAGTTTCCGAGAAAAAATAATGACAAAACTTATTACTTTCGCTTTGAATTTGATTATTCGTGTAAGTAAATATGAAAAATATCAAATAGTTGTTAGCCAGTTTTAAATCTAAATTTAAATATGCAATTTTGAATTCTTGCTGAATTAATTATATACAAACATATTCAAATAATCTAAAATGTACAAAGTAATAAAAAAAAATCTATTAAAAACTATTTTTCCACCTTATATGCAATAATATTTTAAGTTAAAAATAGATAATATCATTAAAGAAATGAGAAAAAAACCTTATACATAATGTTTTTTGTAATTATTTTATATAACATATTTATTAAATTATTTTTAGAGATTACATTTTAATGTAATGCATAATATTGCATAAATTGTAACGAGTAAAGTTACTGCAATTATAACAAAAAATAATTATTTGGTGCCCCACTATTTTATTGATATGCATACTTGGAAAACTGTTCTAAATACAAATAAAACTCTGCTAATTGAAAACTAAAAATCCATTAAAATTTATAAATTCCAACCGAGTGATAAGTTTTTGTTAATGTAAGTGGTAATAAATGAGTTTTTAAGATGAAGACACTACATACTTTTACTACTTCTTCAGAAATTTGGGGGCGTAAATTTATTTTCATGGCAAGAAATTAATAAAATTACAAATTGAATTGGATTCATTCAAATAAAAAAATTAAAACAGGATCCTAATAAATTCATAAGTATAACTCTATCCATTCTTAGCAAATAATATTAAAAATTATTAAAGTTTCTTGATTGTAAATTGTACTTATCCTTATAAAACACACACTTTCTAAATTTTTAAACAAATTAATTATTTCTTCAATTTTTAAACTTACTTTTTGCATCTCTTGTAGAGCCTGTTCAGCCTTTTGTAATCCTTCCATATCCTGTGCCATACGTTTTAAATGTCTTTTTGCATTTTTATTTTGCTGATATGCGTACCAGCAACCAATAATAGCACTTAATAATAATGTCACCAATATATAATCTTTCCATCTTGTACCAGTTTCTAAAATCGTATAATGATTATTAATCAAAAAATAATCAAATATTTGATCTGATGTCATAACGAATTAAATGTTACTTTTAAAATACATTTTTTTTTAAATTAACAATATTTTTTTTAATTTAACAATCATTTTTTTTATTTTAGCTTTACAAAACAAATAAAAGATTTTTTCTAAAACTATTGGTTGTTCTTTTGTTTTTTTTTTTATTAATAATTTTTTATAAGTACTTTTTGTAAATTATAATCATAGTTATTAAAAAAAAATTGAAAACTAGCGAAATTCTATGAATTTAAAAAATAGTAATAAACGTAATAAATAAACAAAATGGATTCACAAATATAGGGAAATAGTGAGTGCTACTGCTAGCTGATGTATGAAGAAAATTTGTTAGAGTACCGAAAAATTATAAGGAAAAAGCTTGTGTAATTTAAACTTGTCACATTTTCCATCTATGCGTGTGTATACTGTTTCACATATGTATAAATATATATAGATATTATGTGTTTTGATTTTATTTACTCATTTTTTTTTTGTATTTTCAAAATTCAATTTCAATCACTTTAATTCCTTTTTTTTTTAATTTTTATTAATTTGCTATTTATTTATTGAAAACAAACGATTTGAAAATAATTATTGTTCTCAATTCTCTCGTCATACATAATTATATGTCACACATTATAAACATACACATTTTTCATTATGATATTATATGACATTTAATGTATGTATGTGTTCACAAATTGTCACGTTTATGAAAATTCACTTTTAATTAAAAAAAAATGTAGGTACATTTATTTACGTTTTTTTCTAATTTTTTATTTACAAGAGTAACTCACCTCTCGGCGGGCCGAATAATACTACATCCATTGCTTTCAATGCGATTTTTTGTTTATGAATTGGATCTTTGATACCGAGCACATTACTCACATAATGCATATTATTTACTGCAAGTCTGGATAAAATAAAAAAGACAAAACAAAAATAAATAAAAATAAAAAAAAATAAAATGAGAATAAAATAAAATAAATTTTATTATTAAATTTGTAAAAAACGAGACTTTAAAAGTGACAATAATTAAAAAATATAGGAGGGAGTCCACCTTTTGTTCATTCGCGAACCATAAATAAAAACTTGTAAATATTACGGAAAGTTAGTTATATTACAAAGTTATGAAATAATAATAGTTTAGAATTAGTTTTCAAATTTTATTCCATCGACCGCTGTGAATTTGACCTTCATTTATGACATGAAACTTATATGTATTTTCAAATTATTTTCTATAAAATGTGCGATTTTATTTTTATGTATTATAAAAATATTTAAACAAAATTTTTCAAAACAAAAACATGGTTTCGTGGAAAAAATTGTTTAGAGCCACTACAACAGAACATTCTTTAACTGTAATGATAGAAAAATCATTTAAACTTACATACATACATACTAAAGAGTCATTATAGTGATTTCATATTTATCTAATTATAAATTAACGTCTTTTACATATAAACGTAAAATAAAAGTTGTTATTTTATATCTTCAACTTACAGGTGTGTATTTATACATTTTATACAAAAAAAAAAAAAGAAAAAAAAATTCATCAGCATCGTTACATGAGTTGTCGCAAAATATTGACATTTTATGAAAAATTCTAAATGTAAACAAAAGCATAAAGTAAAAAGAAATAAAATGAAATTTGAAATAAAATATTTTGAAAACTAAAATTAAATAAATAACATTGTAAATGTTTGCATTTAAAGTAAGTTAAGCTAGGTGATTAAATAATGCAATTACAGTAGCGTTGGCGTAAAAAAAGATATGTGAACCTTCTCAGTAATTCGATGACCTGACGAGGAAGGAAGCTGGAAAAATTGATTATGTTCTTGTGTAGATTTTGTGGGGATATTAACTATCGTACACATCTTTTGGTACCATCCTACTATCCGATACTATTCGGCATCGCAATTTCTTCGAACGGCTTCGCTAAACATTCGGGACTGTTGTCGAACTCACTTGGGGATATCCACAATCTTGTACATTGTACAGGACTACTATAAGCGGTCGAATAGGGGGACTATAATAAATTGCAAACGGCTGTAGTAGTCCGGTGAAAAGTAATTTGCTTTTTGTTATATACTCTTTGAAAAACTTTGAAATTTAGAAAAAATTCATGTCAATTCATATGAAGATCAAAAATTTTAGATATCTCATTATAGTATATTATAGAATATTCCCAGGCACCAATAAAATACAATTGTCATTTGTTTACAATTTCAATTGGAAAACAAACATAGTAAATATTTTTTTTAATAAAACAAATTGTTCATTAAATAATCAGAAATGAACTTTTGTACTCAGACTATTTATTCAATTAAAATAGATATTACTTGCCTACAATACGGAAAAATTTAAAATAATTTTAAATATTCATTATAATTATAGTAAGTTTGTTTTTCCCTACTAAATGTGAACAGTATGGTATATAGGTAGTGGAATTAAAAACACAAAAAATTTATTAATCTTCATTAATTGTTTTAAAAATTTAAAATATGTATATTGTAACACTTTTATGTAACATCTCAATACTACGTCTTTAATAGAAAAAATAAATAAATTATTAATATTAATCTTAAAAGTCGACCACATTTCTATTAAATTTTTTTTTTATGAATTAATTGAATTTAGTTGAAAAATTAAATTTCACCATAAATTTTATAGCATATAAATTGAGAAATTAACAAAAACTACTGTCAAAATATTGTGAATTGCAAATTATTATTAGAATTACACTTGTAGAGCACAATATATTAATAATTAAATTTTAATTAAAAACTAATTTAAGATAATAAAAACGTGATTTTTCATTTATACTCGTAATTTTATATAATTTAAACCGTTACTACATGAAATTAAATTAAAATAGTGAAAGTTTTATACTTGATACTAATTGCTAATTAATATTAGCATTTTAGTATTAATTAATATTAATATTTCTAATCATTAGCTGCTCAAGTATTTTAATTATTCTTAACAATATTACAATAAACATTTTTCTTACAGTGTAACGACATACATATATAACATAATTTTAATCATTGAAGAACCTTCATATTAAATCAACAAATCGCATTATTATTTTATTATGAATAAAAAGAAAAAAAATCAATTACATTATTAATCTTTAATTGTTTGTTTCATTTATATTAGTTTGATTACATTGTATCGTATAACATTTAACTTGAATAATAAAAGCTGTGAATTTGCTTCAATTAAGCAAATTTACCTTATATCTGTGGTAGTTCCAATTAGGCTGATAACAGAATATTGTTTGCTAGCTGATAATTTTATTAGAATGAATAAAGATACGAAATTGCTCTAAATGAAGTAAAACAATCCAATTAAATTAATATTTGCAAACTAGATTAATTTTAATATCAACAAAAATCATTTGTACACCAATGCGGGAATTAAGAAGCAAAAAATCGAATGTTTTGTAAATTTTAACATTATTATTTTGGTTGAAATATAAATGAAATTTTGGAAGGAAAATATTTAATTTCCATTTGTAGGCTGTCACAATTCTTTCTCGGCATTTAATGTATTTTTAAAAATTGTATTTACACAATTTACACTCTTTAAACTTTACACTACACTGTGAAATAGAAGGTAACTTTCAATATTTCAGCAACAATATTAATATAATTGAAACTTACAAAACTTGGATCAAGTCAAAGAATAGACGAGATAGTTATAGAAAAAATTAATACATATACAAATTCTATGTATAGCTGAAGGTTGATTTGTATAAATAATACTATTAATGATACTCGTAGATTCTTAAAAGTGAAATTTGTTATGTTCTAGAATAAAGAACAATAAAGTAGACGTTAAAGTGTAGATTTCATTTGATTTTCGATTCAGTATAAAATTTATATATACTGAGCAGTTATCAAATGAATACATTAATATTAATAATAAAAATTTTAAAACCGAATGAATTAAAAAATGAATGAAACAATGACTACTTTTTAATATTATAATTTGAAATTACATTAAAACTAATTAAAGAAAAAAAACTATTGTTAATAATGGTAAAATATTAAGAACTAAATAACGACTTAGCCTTGACTGTAATACGAGTATTTAGTGGTCCAATCCAAAAATTTGTAATTGAGCTTCTCGGAATTTTGTTGTAATCGAATTGAATTCATTACAAATAATCGCATTTTTAAATAGCGAATTGTGTGTTAACTGTGTGAAATAAAATTAATGTAAGAAAATTTCTAAAACACAATTAAAAATTTTTGAAAATTGAAAATAAAAATGTAATTTTTATATTTAGATAATTTTTCATAATTTTTATATTAATAAATTTTTAAATATATTTTGAAAAGTTAACATGAATACCACAATTTTCTTTCTAAAAAAAACAATAGCATTAACAAACCAAAAACCGCTAGAAGTTTGAATATTTTTGACGAATGAAATTCCTTGATGATATTACAATATTAGAGTTATCCATATTCAAATCGATAGTTCGTCAAAATTGATGAAATTCGAACCATCTTTCCGAAAGGGAGCAATCAAATTAAAACAGATCGAAGAAAAAAAAATGGTTGGTGCAATTAAATGTAGTGCTAATAAAAGCTGATTGTCTAACTAGAAGTCGTGGTTATTTCAAATATGAAATTATAATGTAAAATTTCCGAACTCGTTCAAAACTATTAATTCTGACTGATTAACGCTGCAGTTTTGTTTTTCTTTGTTTCGAACGGCAAAGAATTAATTACCACTATTGTTCTTAATTATTATGTTACATATATTATTTAAACATGACTGAATATTTAATTTTAATATCACACTATTTTGCATAAAATTCTCATCGTAGCTTATCGATCGAGAGACATGAAAGAAAGTATATAATTCTACGTGGCAGTGAATAGCGATTGAAGCTAAATAAAATAACAATTAAGTTAAGAAGAGCAGATCTAATGCTATTTTGCTTTTCCTCCAAAAATTAAAATCATAAGACTTACAGCTTACGTTTTTGTAGAACGTGCTCACTTTTAGAATATCGTCATATAGTATTAAGAAATGTAAATTTAACGTATTTGAATGGTTCGGTTTTTTTTTCTAAAGCACCTAGTTATTAAAAAAAAAAGGAAAAACAATTTTTTATTAGGTTCGTGATCAGATATAATTTGATTTTAATTACTATGTATTTGAATTTAGTTTTTCTACAGAATTTTCGTCATTTTTTTTAGTAAATTATTGTGTTAAAAAATTCATTTTATTCAAAATAGCAATCTAAAGCTTTTATTATAGATAAATTACAAATGAATGTGTTAATATCATTTTCAAAAAGCTAATAAAATAAATAGTTAATTCAAATACTAACAACGAAACTGACAATACGCCATTGTCAACACAAAAACGCACATTATTTTTCGTATTTAGTTTATTTTCATAATTTAAATTTGATTTTAAAAACTATTAATCGCGATAGAAATTAATTCTAACCAATTTTTAATCAAAATTGTAGTGAGTCTCTCTAAGTTAGTAAGGCGAAAGTGATTCATATCCGTTTTAAACAACTTGAAATATTACTTCGGTTAAATTTCTTTTTAAAATGAACCTTTAAAACCATTAAAAACGGTTCTTAAATCAATTTTTCAATTTTGAAAAGAAAATCCTAAATTAATTCAAAATTAATGGTGGATTTTTAGGAAAACTAGTGCGACATATTCGAAACTATAATAAAAGTTAGACTTGCTTTATTAATTGTAACAAATGAAAACACAGCAATAAAATTGCAAACAAAGATCAATTTAGTGACTTTATTGATTCATCATTTGATGAACCAATGAAGTCAATCTATTGATTAAGAAATTTTTTCATAACAATTTGATTTTAACAAAGACCAGCTAAAATAAATGAAAACCATATTACAATCATGAAAGAATCAGGTGGCTGAAAAATGTGTGCGCGAATAAATAGTCGCGCATCAGTACTCGTACATATGTAAATATAATATGTTAAATTCGTAAATAAAAACAATGAACATATACATATAATTGATAGATATATTATGTACGTATACTGAAAATTAAACGAGTTTTCACTTGAACATGTTGGGATCATAAAACCATTTTTTTCCTGAATGGAAAATTTGACAAAATAAAAATCCCTATAAGAACTATGCGTCGAATTTCGATTGTCGTTTTAAAAACTCTACATATCGGTAAAGCAAAAAGTCGTCTAAATAACTGAACATATTTGAAAAGTAAATAGGTACACACACTAAATCCTCGGGGTACGATATTTTAATTCCAGACATTTATATTGTAAGTCGAATTGTCGCATGTATGAGAACGAAAATTGAAATGGACAAACTACATATGTAGGTATATATTATTACAATTCATAAGATTTACAATAAAGTAACAAAAGTATAAAATAAAAACGGAATAACAACAAAATATTATAACGAAACCAAGAAATCCAATTTGTTAACAAAAATAAAGAAATAAAATCTAATTAAGTTAGTACGTTTATCACTACGATTTATATTTTTAACTATTGCTTGGTGGTGATTTTTATCCAAAAATCAGTAAAATCTGTCAAAAAAAACTAAAAAAATGTTAATATCTTATCAGGAATAATGTCACTAGTCGAATAATAATGGTCCGAATTCATATAGTGTCGTAAATTGAAACATCGTATCTCAATGACTTCGTGTAGGTATGCATTAAAATAAAATTCACTAAATAATTTGCGGTCAGTGATTTTGAGCTTAATTTTTATTTAAAATAGTACTAAAATAATTATTTGAATAAAATTCAGTCACATTGGGTACATGAAAAAGTGGTTTAAATTCCTTGATTTTAAATAAAGAAAACTTAAAAGAATGCAAAATTTAGATATTTAAAAATATTTATTACGTATACTTTTGCAGTCCTAAAACGAAATATTGTGTTATGGGGCTAGTACGATTTTCATCAACATTCACCTACGTGCATACATATTCATACTATTAAATTTTGTACACAAATAGCGAATTCTAAAGAAATTGTTATCCATAAAAAAACCTGTTCACATCTATTTAAATAAATTTACACGTTCGACAGATGGAAAATTGATTTTGAATCGTGATCAATAAAATTCTATACAAATTAAAATTACATATGTACATATGTATGTAGAAACTAATACAAACAAGAGTTATTCATTTTGATTTAATTGTATTTCTTGTTTTAAATTAAATAACCGCAAAATAAATTTAAAAAACTGAACAGCCTTGATCTTCTCTGAGGTCGGGTGGAAGAAGAAAAGAACAGAAACAACAACAACAGAAAAATAATTGATTAATTTATATTTCTTATTTTATAAATTAAATTCATGAAAAAACGAGACAGAACTATAAAATATTTTGTTGTACTCATAGAAATTTTTGTATTCGAAACTGTATATTATGACAAATTGAATAAGTAATGTATGTAAATTAAAGATTCCCGAACATTTCACTAGTGTTAATTCATAACATTCTAAAAAAATTTAGATTCCAGAGTCTAGATATAGAATAAAATGAAAAAAAAAAATCACATTTGTTAAATGCGACCAATAAACGGTTCTTCCTACTGCGCACAGAAATTATTGAATTGATAACCTTTTTATACTCCATGTTTTTAGTCACGGAATAATTTAACACGAGCAATAATTAAATTCTTATAGTTTATTACGAATAAAATCCCTCGCAATTAAACTCAAAATATCATTCTCACCTTGGTAAAGCTGCACCAGTAACTTTGTGTTGTTTAAATAAATCAACATATTGTGGCAATTGAACAGATTGTGCTAGCCAATCTGTTGTCTGCTCGATGGTCCAATTGTGAACCTGAAAATAATCAGAAAAACAAAACATTAGAAATACATTACATACAAAAATACATATGCACATATCATACATAATGTAAATTCGAAAATTATAAAAAGAGTACTGAATTTAAAACCAGCCAAAATAAAAACAAATACGAGAAAGCAAAAAATTACGATTGTTATAGATTAGAATCTTACCTCAGACCGAAGCCACGCTTCCCACAGCTCTTTAACAGATATATGCATATCATCGTTGTAATGAAATGCTTTCTGACGTTTCTCATATCCCGAATCGTATTTTAATTCTTCTCTAAGAAACTGAAAAAATAAAAAAAAATTGTTTTATTGATCGATACGAGCTCAAACATCAAATTATTATAAAATATTTTTAAATTTAATTTAAATTATAAAAACTTCATTTATTTTTTCCAATCTAAAGCATTTCCAATTTTAAATAAAGACGTACAAAAAGATAACCACTCTTAGGAAACTAAATAAAAAAAATTGATATTTTTAATTTTGTTCGAGAATCCCACAATTTTGACATTTTATGTTGAAAAGTCACTTAAACTTATAAGTACGTTTATTGATTTAAATACGCTCTTCGTAAAGCCTTTCTATTCATTTCCCCTTAAATGTCAAATTATTTGAATGCGGAGCAGTACAATGAATATTTGTTTCGGCATATGAACTTGACAATAAAATTTTCCTATTCAAAAACAAAAACCTTCATAAATGTTTTATCTCTTTCGCGCTCATAAAAATAAAGCAAGAAGAAAAAAAACAAATTATGATTTCGGTAAAAATGCCAATAAATTTTTTTTTTTGGTTTTATCAATATTAGCTCATAAATGCGCTCATATGTAACATACACACATATAAATTAAGTGATAAAACAATAATAACGATGCGAAAAAGAAGGAAACAAAAAAATTTAAAAAAAAAATTGATAAAAAATTTAGATGGGAACTTTGTAGTTGCGGCGCCATTAATAAATTCTAACCAAAAACTAAAATTCCACCCCCTGTGAAATTTTTGAACATTTCAATGATAATATGATGTATATACACGTGTGTGTGTGTATGTACATATTATAATTTTATTGCGATAAATTTAAGCTATCATAATTTTTAAATAATGATATTAATTTGAATTAAACTTTTGACTTATTCATCATAAAAAAAAATTGTTTTCTTTCTTTTTTTCATCGCCGGTATTTTAGAAATTAGAAGAAATTTAAATAAAGTCATCAACTTGGTTAACAAAAGTTTTAAATTGCAACTAAATTACATGTCTATCTACACATAAAAATTGAATTAAGTTGTGGGGTTCCTTGGGTCAATGAGTTCAAACGTTAAGATTCTTTGTTTATAGCATTTCGATCTCGAAATATTCGTATTGAATTGAAGTAAATATGCCTCGTCAAATCTTCAGAAAATTACGCCAAATACTTAAGAGACTGCAGGGTTTCACTAGTTCCAAAATGAAGGCTCATTGCAAATAAAAAATGAATATGTGTGAACATTGGCATTTGGTTTAGTTGTAAATTGTTGTAATGGTAATCCAAAAATATTGAGACAACAATCTCAATTTCATCACTGAAAAAAAATTAAAATTTTACAGAAATGGAGATTAATTTTTTCTGCATATTTTTTTTAGCTAACTACTATGTGTTGACGTGCATATGTGTGTACTCATACCCATTTTTTTTAAAGATGAAAGTTTAACAAACCGAAGTTCTTCTTTTTTTTTGTAAAATAAAATTAAAATGAATAATTTATTAAGACTCTAAACTTTCAAAATTTATGATATTCAATTTTAAAAATTTATGAAAAATATTTATTTCAAATATCGTTAAAATATGTGCTTTTTATTGATAAGGAAATTTTGAAATATTTTCAAAATTTCAAAAATATATGTATATACATACATATACATACGTACAATGTATGTGCAGATATGAAACAACACGCAGAGAAAAATATTTTAAATTTCTTGACAGTGATTATTTTGTTGAAATGTTTTTATTCAAATTTACTCATACACAACACAACACATTCAAGCTTCTTTTTTTTGATTTTGATGAATTTCCCCTATATTTATTGCATATGTACACATTATTTTAAAATATTGAATGAATATGACAGGAAAAATTTGAGAATGGTACATTTGTAAATATTGAATCATTAATAATTTGATGAAGAATAAATAAAATATTCAAAATGAAATCAAAGGACACACATTACATACATATGTGCCAAAATTATTTTTGATTATAAAATGCCAAAGTGAGTGAAGTTAGTGTAAGCATAAACAAAAATCTTATTATAAAAATCATTAATAAAAATTTTACGTTTACTTTTTTTGACGGTAACGCATTTATAAAATTTCTTTAGTTGCTATTGAAAAATTAATCTTAAATTTAAGATCAATGGAAAGTATGATAATGGATTACCTAAGCGGACCAACGAATAACGGCTTAAGCAAAATGTATTCAAATTCCAATTCCTTAGATTAAATTAACGCCGTAATTACATTGTAATGCATCAACCAAGAAGGTTATGTAATGAGATCAAATTCCGCATGTTCGCCTTTACAGTGCAAATGCATTTGTCCTTGTCGAAACATGTCTATTAGGAATTAATTGATGGAATTTAAATTATAAATTATTATATTCTATAACGAAGAAACAAAAACTCAAAATTGTTAATCAAAATTCAAAAGTTCACATTTCAGAGAAATAAAATCGCCTTTCAAATGCGACATCTTTTGAAAAAGCAAAAAGGTATTTCAGTTTTACTCAAAAGAAGAGAACATAATAATATTGTAAAGAGCACACATTTCGTATGCAAAAAATGGGGCAATTTTTTTCGTTTAAAATAATTTTGTTTTGCAAAATTACATGAGCAATATTTTGTATATATTTGTATACGTTATGAGTAAGTAAAATAAAGAAATATTTGACACAAAGAAATATTTGACGAAAAAAATTTTTGACATAAAAGAAATTTAATCTCTCTTAAATTACTATTTACTTTATATGGTGTTTGATATTCATTTTCAAATTTATATTCGAATGAGATTCTCCTAAAAATATTTTCTTTCAAGTATCTACATATTTAATAATCAAATAATTTATGTATAATTGAATTTTTTTTTTCATTTAAATATTCCTCAATACGAATGTAAAAGATATAATGCTTAAGTGGATAGATAACTGAATAGTCACTTAACCGTCAACTATTATAATTTTTTCAGCAGCAAATTAAGTATTTAATTTGATTTCACTTAAGCAATATACTTTAAAAAGAGAATTAATTCATTACTATACTTACATATTTTATTTCCGTTTCAGATACCTTCAAATACATACTAGGAGAATTTAATACAAGTAAACAACTTAAAATTAAAATATAATAATAACACTTTTTCATGGCATGAAGCCAAATTTAAGAAAAAAAAAAGCAAAAACAAAAATCAATTGAAGATGATTTTTAAAGCTTAATGAAAAAATCTTAATGAAAATTGCAAATACAAAAAAAAAAACCGAATAAAAAAAAAATATTTTAATTTCTTATCGACTACTACCGTGATTGTGATTTTGTAAAGAAAATGCAGTTAAAAATTTTTTTTAGTAAATTTGTTTTTATTTAGTTGCAATCGCCAAATCGAAACAATCACTAATTAATTTAAAATTTCGTTAAAAAACAAAGCATAAGAAATATTTAATCGTGATTAAAATTAAAAAAGTAGAAAAAAACGTCATGATTCTTGTAAGATTTTAGGTGAAAAGACAAGTAATTGCATACCATACATACGTACGTGGCAAATAGTAACAGAATCGAAAATTCGAAAAAATAATCGAAAAATTTTTTTAATGCTTTAAAAATAAAAAAATTTTGTTAAACGAAGGTCAAAATTAACAAGATATTTTTAATAATTATACAATGTACATTTTTTCTTTGTTATTTTGTTTGAAATGCACAATTTTTAGAACAACATTCTAAAGCGATTTAGCTATAATTTTTTTAATTTTATGAGGTTTCATTTAATATTCAGTGTTTTTCGGCGAATTTGATTTTACCTACACGGAGAAATTTTCATAAACAGTTCAATGTTTTTAATAGAATTTTAACCTCGAACTTGATTCGTTTCATTCGGTTCTATAATCTTATTAACTTGAGTATTCGGAATATTTTTTTCTAATTTTTAAGCTCCCCTGGTATGAACTATTCAAAGTAACAAGATAATGATTCCAAAACTTTTTGAAAATCTTTAAAAAAAACGCAAAAATCGCCCAATATTTATTTGGAATTCCTTAGATACTAAAAACATAGATAAAAATTTAAAATATTTTTAAAAATTTTCTTTTTGTTAAGAAAATTTAATTTTTTTACAGAGTTGATAAAACAACCCGCATTCTCTAGAAAAGGTACCGAAGTACAAAATATAAAATAATATTTTGAAAATTGAAAATTACAAAAAAAATTTAATATTTCACAAATTTAAATAAAAATTCCAATTAATTATCGTTTTTTTTTTTACTTAAATTCTTTTGCGTAGGTAGCGTAACTAAGAGTAAGTAAAATAATGGTGTATTTGGTCACTTTTGTCTCTAGAATAAAAAAAAACTAAGGAAAAAATAGAAAACAACAAAACAAATCTATTTTTAATACCGGCAATTAATTAAAAAAGTGGAATTTATGCTCACGTTTGAACGTATTATGGCCAATGTCTCATTCTCTCTAAATAAAAATTAAGAAAAAATTATATTATGGTTTTTGATTGTATATCGTATTGTCAAAACACAAGAAGTACACGTGAAAAATAGCGATTTACAAAATAAGTAGGTATGTAGCATTGAAATTGGCTCTTTAAAATGCGGAAATCTATTGTGATAAGAGTGGCATTTAAAGCTAACGTGATATTGGAATTAGGAGTTATTACAAAAATCCGCGCACAAATATAATCAAAGTCTATTCAGAAATAAAAGCTGGCTCTACATATTTATTACAAAATAATTTAATTTTAAACTAGTATGGTTTAGTAATTATAATAATTGACGTTCAACACTTTAAAAGATTTTCTTCTATTATTTTTTAGCGTATCTTCGGTATCTTATAATATACGCTCACAGATTCAGTGATTTTTTTATTATTTAATTAATAAACTAAATTAAAAAGAAAACAATTCTTAATTTTATACTCACATCATCAGATTCACTTAAGTCAATATTGCCGTTATCATCGTCATCTAATTGTCGATGTAATGATCTGATTGCTTCCATACCTAAACGATCTTGAACATTAAAACAATCTAAATCGTCCGCATGACACGCTCCATCAGCAGATCCACTTCCTAAAGAACCTGAAAAATTTCCAAAAAAAAAAGAGAAATAATAAAATTTTTGTTTTTCTTTTTTTTATTAAAAATTATTGAGATAAATTGTTCAAGATTTTTTAAATAATTAATTTAGAGTTAAAATTAATATTGGATTTGAAGAAATTTCAGAAAGAGAATTATGTTACTCTTTTATTTTAGAATTATTATTTTAATTTTTCTCTTGCACATACATACATACATATACAATTCTGACATTTTTGACAATCTTTATGACACACTAAAAACTCACAAATGTTTTGAAAGAAAAGGAAATACAAAAACTGATATGATTTTATGAGAATAATGTTTTATAATGTTAATGTTGTTTGAAAATACTGTTATATTATTAAAATATATAACAAGTAAAACTGATGGTTATGAATTTCTTCGTAATGGTTGTATACATACACATATGTATTGTATTTCATGTTTTAAAAACAAATTTCGCTTCATTTTCAAAATCAAATGATAACGAACGCTCTGAGAACAACAATACTAATGTCGTGAAATTGCTCCTCGACCTTTCAATAACTCAATTAAATATTGAAACTCAAGAATTTGGAAGTATGTTTCGGCCATCACCCTAAATAATATGGCATACCAAACTAGTTCATCTTAACGTTGTATTCATATAACTGTAATGAATCGCACATGAATAACTGTAATGAATCGCACTGCCAAAAATAAAAAAAAACGCAAAACTAAACAGCAAAAAAATCATCTTATAATTTAAGTCTAGTTGCATTAACCTTTATAATAGGAATATTAAAGTTCTTTTGAAATTACAAATATTTCTTAAACACATTGTAAAATAAATTTATATCAAAATAATTTAATTGCAAGCAGTTATTTAGTTTTCATAGATTAGTTAAATAGACATAGAATAAAAATAAACAAAAGTATGATCGTATTTTTACTGTTGACAATAATCTGAACACATCAACATAATGTGTCATAAACAGAAATTAAAGTTGAAATGTGAGTAAATAATTTATTAAAAATTATAAAAAATAAAATTAGAAATATATTAAGCATGAATACCAATTTAAAAATGTTAATTACAATATTTACAATAAAAATTTTAGAACTTTCTTAGGTCATAAGCTAAGAAACGCCAAATATGCCAATCAAAAAGCAAACAATTGATTAGTTTTCGCCTTTATACATTTTATCATAAAATCAAAACCAATACGAAAGCTTTATATACCTATGTATTAAAAATGCAGTGTATATATACAAAAACTTACACAAAATATTTGTGGGACGATGCACACAATCAATTCTTTGTCCTAAGAAATAAAAAAGAAATAGGCCAGTTTTCGAGTTTCCAAATGAAATTTTTTAATATAATTATATACATTAATGCAAGTATGGTATGTAAATATGCTTGTACACTTTCAGGTATAATCACAAAAAATAGGTTAAATTTTAAATACATACGAAAAGTATTTACTTTTAATACTTAGTAAGCCAAATTGAAAGGGTTAAAATGAACCAATAATTACATTTCATTATTTTGCATTTTTCGTTTACTAACTTATTTTAACCCTGATCGGACAATGATAATAAATAATATTCAAATTATTAAATTAGTTAAGCACTAACTGAGCTTGCAATTTTAAATACGGTATTAAGCCTCTGTTATGATTAACCTTTAAGATTTTTAAAAAGAAGTTTTTTTTACAAACATGAAGAGATCACAAATATAGAATTTTTTGTGGTAAATAGAATACTGAAGAGAAAGAAAATTCTTTTAAAAGTTTCAAGATTAACACTCTTTGCTTCAACATTCGTAAAAATTGCAATGTAAATAGTAAAAGAGTAGATAGTAAAGACCATTTAAAGCAAAAGAATTATTTACTTTAATGCATTTAGTTATAAATCTAAACTCAAATGTAAACAAATAAAAAGGGATAAAGAGGAATTGTTGATAATTTTCATTTAAGTTCTTAGATTACAAAATTTTAACATTGAGAAAAAAAAAAGCAACATAAATTTTTTATTTGTTATCTACATTTAGAATTACATATAAAAAAATAAAAGAGATGAGCAAGTTAAGTTATCAGAACAAGTTATCAGGAATAAATTTTTTGGAGAAATTTTATTCATTCTTGTATTTATTAAGTTGGAAAGTATAAAGTCCTTTGAAAAACTTTTATTGCTTTTACCTACTTGGACTTAATTTACTATTAAAAACTCTGAGCAATCCAAGTTTCTTTTGTACTGCTAAAACTGTAAAAATAATTTTTTTTTAATTTTTGTAATTAAAATTTTTAAATTTTATATTGTAATATAAAAATACAAAAAAAAGTTATGAAAATTTACAATTCCTGTTTAGAGATTCATTTAACATCACCTTGTGAAACACGCAAATCAAAATTTCAAAAAACAACATCAAATTTATAAAATTTTATGAATTATTGGAATTTGAACAAGATCTTTTGTGCCTGCTAAAATACACAAATATAAAAGTTAAAAAGACTAAATTTAGCTAGAATTGAACTTTGACGTCCTTTTCCTTTTAAGGAAAAACTTTTAGCTTACAATCAATGTCGGAATACTCAATGTTGAATACAAGTTTTTAACCAAAGATAATTTTGCAAACAAAACAAAATAACGGCTTATTTCTTCTGTCATGCAGAATTATAAGCAAATAGAAAGTTTCGTTTAGGAATTTCTTCTCTAAAGTTAACCTCATTGTCTCGATCTGGTCTACCGCTATATTGAAGTAGGTAAGTTTTATACATAGGTCAACTCCGATTTTTTAATAGGTTATAAATATCGATAAATGTTTTGTTTTTGGTAGAACAAAATTTCTTTGTTCCTCCTCTTCCCCAAAATTTGCGAAATTTCATTCTTTACTTTCCTTTTCTTTTTTCTTCGTCACTACAAGTTACATACAGCAATTGATCTCCTATCCAAAGCATACTTCAATGCCTCAACTAAATTAATAAGCAATGTAATCAATTTCCGACTAATTGTGTGGTTATGACAAAATCCGATAAAATTCTTAAATACAAAAATTTAAAAAAATCAATTTTGAATAATAATCAATTTTGCCAGAAGAAAAGCTTATTAAAAACTTTCTAATAATATTTTTTTTCCTCTTGACCAACATGAAATAAAGTTTTTCCAGTTCAAAACACTGCAAAATTTTAAATAAAAAACTAAGTTTGATGTACAGGATGAGTTTATTTATTATTTGATTTTCGCAGTAAACTAAAATAACGATTAAATAAATAAGTAGGTAAATAAGAAAATTCAAATACTTGAATAAAACTTTAATAAAACTTAAATTTTAGTAATAATGCAATTGCAATATGAAACGTTGTAAGTGATAACTTTTTACTTCATAATTGCAGTGATTAGCGACTGCTGTTAATAATGAGCAGAAAATTCAAATACTTGAATAAAACTTTAATAAAACTTAAATTTTAGTAATAATGCAATTGCAATATGAAACGTTGTAAGTGATAACTTTTTACTTCATAATTGCAGTGATTAGCGACTGCTGTTAATAATGAGCAGAATTTATAAAAATTTTGACAACTGATAACTTTGAATCGAAAAGTAGTGAATGTCATTTACTCTTTAGTACAAATTATTTAGGTAGTATTCTCAACGTAAAAATCAATTGCCAAATTAGTTTTATTTCTAGCCTATGTGATTATAAAAAAAATAGTAATTCTTCTTTTATTTTACACGTCACGTTGATTTTAATGTCGAATAGAATAGAAAAAAAATTACTTATATACATATTTACTATGTATATGTACGTGCATATGTATATATTGCATGTACACACATGTACGTACATACTTTTTTACTTAAAAGAACTGAGGAAAAATTATTTCCCCGAGGTGAAACGAACATCTAACTAAAGTTATTTAACCTTAAAATTAAATAAACAAAGTAGAAAAAGAAAAAACAACCGCTAAACCCAAATATAGAATGTTCTTTATATCGCGAAATTCAGATAAAAAATTATAAAAGGTGTTTCGCTAACAAAATAAATTGGAAAGGCACAGATAGGATAAATTAATTATAGAATTTTTCTATATTATATGTAATGTGCATATATATTTGCAAGTGTGTGTACCTATATGTATTACAAAACGGGAATAGAACTCATTTCAACTTAAAAATAATTATTTTATTATTGTTTTTTTGCACTAGTTAAATAAACATCAGATTCAATCATTTTATTTACAAAAGAATTTCTTGCTTCATTGTTTAGTAAATTACTATGTCATTAAAAATTTAATTTTATGTAAAATCTGAGAACTAATTTGAAATTTCTGACTTTACGTAATATTTTTACTCAAATAAAGTCAATATGGAATGACCAAGGTGAAAAAGAACGAGGTTCGAATTAAAAATTAATAAAATTGCAAAAGTAAATAATGAATGTTTAAGGGTAAACTTTTATGAAAATTCAACCTTTTATTCTTAAATTTGATAAGTATAATTATATAAATTGATAGGTGCAAATTAGAACACATTTTCGACAAAACAAGATACGCTACAAGGGAAAATTTTTCTTACTAGAAAAATATTATACGAACACAACATTCACTTTCTTCTCACTCGGCGAATAAAAAATCGAGATTACACGATTTTGTCTTAATAGCTCTATATACTTAAGGATTAACTAATTTAATGAGCATTTGTTTTAACGACTACAATAACGCGGGTTTCACTCAACGATAACAACACTTTGTGTTGCCTTTAATTTGTTTTCTAAAACACAAAACAAATTTATACTCACTATCCGTGAAGGCTTTTTTATTTCTAAACAAAATATGAAGAAATTTGATCCTATTCTCCTTAATAACACAAATAATATTGTAACTACAAGGCTTCAATTTGATATCCAGTCGGCGTTATAAATAATTAAATTAATTTCAAAGTCCTTACATAAATAAAAAACATTCTTTCAAATTAAAATTATTTTTTGTGTTTTTTCTTTCTTTTTTGCTAATAATCAATTATTTTAATGTAAAGAAATTTTATTCCACGTGACCTACAAAATCTTATCATGCTAAAAAGTTTTTTTCCGAAATGAAAGAAGGAAAATGAAAAGAGTAAAACAGACAAGGAAACAGCTGTTAAGTTTTTATTGAAATGACGGCTTAAATACAAAATTTGACGTCATAATAATATCACAACATGAATGGATAAACCATATTTCATTTTCCTGTTTATTCAAGAAACTGAGTTGCTGTTTTTGCTTTTTCAATAGCAAAATTGTTTACAAAATCGAATAAAAAAATTATTAATTCATATAACGTTTACTTTATATTAATTTGTGATAATATACAAGTTTACACTTATAAACAAACCCTCTCAATAAATATTTATAAACAAAGTATAACAATATTTTAATTTCATTACGATTAGAACGAAAATATTTATGGTCATATTTTTATAAAATTAAATAACAAAAAAAAATATAAGAGAGAATAATAATCGCACGCTTCTATATTTAACATATTATTGTCTCGCATTATCGGTACAACTAAGGCAATATTGGAAAAAATTGTCTACTAAGGTAACATTTGAGGAAATAAGTTATAAAAATAGTTTGTGTATAACAACAGAAAAATGTGCCCAACAAATTTAATAGGAATAAATTTATTTTGTTAGTTTGGTAACACGTTCGGTTTTTTTTTTTCTAGATAAACGGAATCATTTTGCTAGTAATAATGTTATTCTAGTATTAATAAAAATGAGCAATTTGAAAAATGTTGAGTAAATAATAAAAATAGCATAAAAATTCTCTTTTAATATGATTCAGACAGAAATACACACACACATAATTTGCTTATAGTGATTCATTTTTGTGAATAGCATTATTGTGTTGTGAATTAATAAATAAGTCGAGTTATTCAGATTTATTTTCGAATTACCAATATTATACAAATTAAGTAGTTATGATTATCAAAATTAAGTCATTTTTGAGTACAATTTGATTTCTATGAAATGAAATTTTTATTATTGCTTTACTTTTCTTAGTCTATTTCTAATTCTTAGTCTTCCTATTTGAAAATCCTATAAGTAATATGAAAAAGAAGTTTCAATTTCACCGTTTCCAAAATTTAGAACAGAAATTAAATTAAAATTGTCGGTCATAACTCCTCTCCAATTCCGAAAAAAGGCGATTTATGTGTGTTATTTTCCATTTAAATTAATATTTTCCAAAAACAAACTAATCGTTCAATTGAAAAAATTTGCAATTTTCAGAAGTAAAACTCTCTTCTATTTTTGCAACTTATTTAAGATTTTTAAG